GTTTCTTTCCCTTCCATGTAATAGAGAACTCTGGTTGGTTCAATTTCTTATGCCTCATGTGTTATGCGTTATGCAAGAGTCTGTGCTCCCCGCTTAACTAAGAACGTATATTTTTCGTATCAATTGTCGTCTCTGTCAGGTTATCGTAAAAATATTGTAAAAGACCTAACTTGTATAAACATTTCTATAATAATGTCGTTAGAATAAACGTTGTAATAATACTTAACTTTTTAAACATGTATTATCAGTTTTATGATGGTGAAGAGGAAGTTGAGCCAAGAGTTGTACCGAAACCTATAACCAAACATGATGTAAGTTGCTTCTTCAAACCGTTGTTTATATTGTCACCTTGTTTATTTTGTGTAATTGTACATATAATATAAAAATATTGGAGAAATAATTTAGACAATTTTTAGTGCTTTGTAGTGCCGACTGTGCCAGAAATATCTTTAATCTTTGAAAAACCAACAGCAAGAAATTCAAAGAATAGGAGTATTGATACTACCGATTCGTTGTCAGCGATATCAGTAAGACCTATACAAATCCCTGACAATACTGTGAAAGTTAGCAACTCTATTTCGTCAATTTCACACAATTCTGATTCTTACGCCACGTGGAAGGAACAGAATTATTCTAGAGAGATTAATTCTACAAGTACAACGCATATTTCACCATTATACAAAAATACTTGTAGCTATGATTATGCTGTGCCAGGTACAGGTTTACAAAATACTTCTATACAAAAGTTACAAGAGCAAACAAAAATTAATGATAAGCTACAAACATTGCAAAATACTAGTAAAAATGAAAGAATATATGAGAAAAGTGTAAAATTTACATGTTCTGATATAGGAGATTCCTATCGTCTCGAAAGTCAGACTGATTTATTATCTTTGGATAAGAGAGCCTTATCTTCTGATTCTTTACAAAGAGCACAATTGAATATAGCTGATCGTACTATGAGAACATCTAACAATACTATTCCAGATACATTGAAGAAACCTGAATATTTTCAGACTCCATACACTGGATGTCAACAATTTCATGTACCTAACTATTCAAATTACAATATAGACAATAATGAAACGGTAAAAACCTTATTGCAGCTTGTAAATAGTCAAAATCAACAGATAAAAAATTTACAACTCCAGATAGATAAACTAGTAAGAATGCAGGAAGAAAATTTCAGGAACAAGCCGACATGCTTATGTTCACAACCTCTTGCAAATCAAGTATTTAGATATCCAATAAATTATTACGACCCAACTCTTGCTTCTTCTCTTGTACAATCTCAGAATCAAAGTATAAAGAAAAATGTAGCCTCACAGAGTACATCTGTTGTGGAGAGGCAAGATCTAGAAAACTTTAGTGAAAATAATAAGCTAGAAACAACATTGTTAGAACAGCAATCAAAAAAGGCTTTTATGGAACAAAAGGTTTCGATCGGTGTTATGACAAGTTTTGAGTTCACTGTACAAAATAGCCCTTTTCCAACAGACTCTGAAATATGTGAGAAAACGGAAGCTCACAGAGAAAGTAACAGTATTAATAGTAGGGCAAATACTGTAAATACTGTAAATATACATGATACAACAGAGCCTGTTAATAGATATAAGAATACATTTACACGTAAGCCTGGACCAGCAGCGCAATTGGAGAACATAGTCGAGGATTCTGAAAGTTATTTATCCTCTAGCCAACAGCAAAGTAGTAATTTCAACGCAAGTTCTTCCATGAAGGAATCCTCGAAATTGCGTCAACATCTTTCTACTGATTTAAATCAAGAGGAAACACATAAAGGAGCATATATAGGGAAAGATAGTAATGTATATGAACGAGCGTCAAATGCAAGGAAGTTGTCAAATACATCTATGAACGTAGATTGTATTGGAAGTGCAAATTGTAGTGAAGCGCTTGTTGTCAAGCCAACAAACGATTTTGTTACGATAGATAGGAAAAAGTGTACCTACAAGACAAATATTAATCAACATTCCTTGCATAATGTCCATTTACCAGCAACAGATTACTATCACAACCATAGAAATAAAGAACACGTGCGCAGTGCTAATGTCAGACAAATTAAAGATATAGGTGATGATAGCATGATTCTAAGTGGAGGTGATCTTAAAATACTCGAAAGACCTCCACCAACACCAGAACCAAGTATTCACGTTGAGATGCAGGAGTATGTAAGTGACGATGAAAGTGACAAGTTAAGGCATACTTCGAAAATAGGTTGGACTTTTTACAACAATGTTTTGGGGCAAGTTAATGAAATTTTGCAAAATTCTGGTGTTATAAGCGATGAAGATCTGAATCACGCTAAAACACCATGTAATGTTGAACAAGAAAATGATAGAGAAACTAGATCGGCAACGAACACTGTTAAAGCAGCCACTTTGGAACAACTTCGGAGACTTGGGATCAGTCTAACTGAAAATAATGAGCACAGAGAGTCCAATGGTAACAAAACGTATGTATCTCTACATTAATTTTCATTTAGATACATAATTAAACTTGTGCTTTAAATCTGTGAATTATTTTTAAGTAACAAAATTTTAAGTAAGATTTGAAAGATGAATAATTTTGTAAGTTGTTATTAAGATGAAAATAATGCCTAATGTAAATACAGAGTAAACTACTGGTACAGTAACCTCTGTATGTACAGGACATTATTGTTACTTTATGATACACAAAAAAGGTTATGACTGTTTTTTTTTTGTTCATTTACTTATTGGTTATATTACCATATATATAATGATGATACTAAGGGCTCGTAATTGATCTTTTCAAGGTTAGACTTTGATTCATCTTTTTATCCCCGTTTGGATCATCAGGCAAATATGACGCATACCACTAGTGCTGTAAACGAAACAAATACAAGTATGCATATGAAGGCGCTGGCATTAAAATATTTAAGTAACGAGCAACTGACAGATATAGCGTGGCATAAACAAGAATCATCTTCATTGAAGCACCTCATGCTCAGCAATATGCAAGGAACAAATATGTCGTTAGCCACAATGCGTTATTTAGAAAGATATCAACTTCTCCCAGGAAAGAATAATGTGCAAGCAGAGAGTAAGTATCAAGTGATGAACGATACGAAATAATAATTTAAATATAATTATACAACAAAGTTCGTGTGTCAAGGTAATCAAATTATTTGTTATAAATTTGTCTCGCGCTATTATTATATCAGCAATACTTGTGTAACATTAATTTATATTTATTTATTTTCCAGATACTAATCAAGCATGTGACAGAGTCTCATCTAAATATGATTTTAAACCGGCGGTTACAAATAATAATCCTGCCCTACGTCGATTCCCTTTTGTACAAACATCTGGAACCACTTGTCCTAGTAGAATATTAGATCTTTCAGCTTTAAAGCGACAACCAAAATTATTATAAATTCTAAAAGTTATATACATATTCCAAGAAAATTAATATAAACAATTTTTATTATGTACATAGCATATTTAAAAAAAAATCTTATTAATAAAATATAATTAATAAGGAAGTGGTTTTATAATAAAAAATTTGAAGTACACACAAGGAGCATCAAACCACAGCACAGGTTTTTTGTGGTATTTAATATATTAAAATTATTCGAATTTAAATTAATGAAACAACCTGTACTGTAGTTTGATGCTCCTTTTTTGTACTTCAAATTTATTATTAATAAAAACTTGAAAATTGAAATATGACTTAGCAGAAACTCGAACCCTTTTTATCTAAGACTGAGATCTCAATTAGTACAGATTCGAACCATACTTTGCGTAATGCTGGATTCACACTGCATCCGATTTTCGTCGTACGACGCTCTTTAACCAATCAGAAAACAGGATTCCGATGATACGAAGCAAAATCCATCGGAATCCTGTTTTCTGATTGGTTGCAGAGCGTCGTACGACGAAAATCGGATGCAGTGTGAATCCAGCATAAAGAGGTTTTCTGTGACTGAACCAGTGAACTTTTGGAACTTAAAATGAAATAGGTATATATTTGATATTTGTCGAAAGCGGGAAAGAGATTTCCTTCTTTTCTTATACAACGGAAACTTTTACATTTTATGATTCAAACGTATGTACATACAAATTAGTATGTGAATGTCGTATTATTTATATATATCGTTGATGTGTTGTGCCAAGCCAACCAACAGCAACCAATAGTCTGGTCGGAATTGGATCGCGTAGTATATATACATACATCCATGGTATACATCCACGGTATTCCACACTTCAGTCCGAGTCCATATCGTCGTAGCTGATCCGCGCGCTTGGAGAGCCACGTTGGATGTACATACCTTTACGTTACCTTTGTATACGTTATCTTTTTATTGAAAATCTGTGAAAATCTTACAAAGATAGTAAAGAGCAGCGACTATATTAGCTTTAAGGTAATTATGTTTGATACTTTCAATTGGTATGAAATTATATTGATGAAAATATTCAGATATCACGATGTGATTACAAGTTAGGTATAACTGGAAATGTTATCTAAAATGGACTATTTGCGTTTCAGATGATTACCGACGTACAATTGGCAATATTCTGCAACATCCTAGGAGTTGCGTTGTTTTTCTTAGTATTCATCTTCCACTACATAAATGCGAATTACACGAAATGAGGAATGGAGAACTGTCATGCGAAAAAGTTTGATTAATGTAACCTAACCTAACCTAACTTACATATGTTATTGCATCATTTGCGATTTGTATGGTTGTCACATTTAATCCAATAAAGTATTCAATATGTTATTTTACAACTTGAAAATGTTAGACCATTTAATTAATCGGATAATAGATAAAAATTAAATAATTTTTTTCTCGTATATAAACATTTCTGGGAAATAATTGACTTTCATTTGCAACATCTTTTTTTATATAAATCCCCTTTTTAAGTATCAAAATACAAATAAGATATTAAAATATCAAAAATAATGTAACACAAATATACATACGTGACTTTGAAGCAAAATGTGACAGAATATTTGTGGTGTAAACAATGTTGCAAACTCATTAATCAGTTTTAATTATTGCTTTATGATAGATATACTTGAAAAAATATATTTTTTCATGTCGTTCAGATTATTTTATTTCAAGTTGAACACTTAAATTAAGGAAAATTGAAATACAATCGCAAATTTTAACTCACTTCAAGGCCAGTGCTACAGTTTATTTTATTAATTTGATACACATGAACTGCACCAGCATATATACATCATTTTTAAATGTAATTTTTCAAATTTATTAAAAATTTAAAATTATTTCTGAATATTATTATTTAAAATTAAATTGGTATCTTTTGTAAAAATGACAAACAAATATACCAAGTAGTATATATGAAGAAAAAGTAGGAGTGCAGATCCCACCTTTTATTAGCATACAAGATAATCGTATACACACTGAGTAGGGAGCCGCCATAATATAGACGTTGAAATAATACTCGAGCGTCTTGTGAATGTGAATTCATTTGTGTCACGTTCCACGTTCGTTTGACAGCTCCTTGAGTTTAATGTTATTAATAATCATGAATTGTGTTAATTAATAATTTGAATACTTGCCATTTGCATATTAAAATAAAACGTGATTTTACTGCGTGCATATTTTAAAGATGAAGCATTTTACTCTGTAATATTTTATAGATGCAATCTTGTAGAATAACAACAATATCATGTAAAAGTGCTTATTTACACTTGTGTGTGTCATTTCTATAAATGAATATTTTACATATATATATATATAAATTTGAAAAGAAAGAGATAAGTGCTTTTTCTATCATCTTTATTCCGAAAATCCACAAGTATCCTCATCAGTTAATAGTAATAAAAATCTTGAATAGGTGATGCGCACATTTTCGGGCAAAGTGTCGACGGAATGCTATTTTTCTTATTTTCTTATATAATTACTATTTATGGGTTTCGTCTTCAAGAAGCTCTGGATACTGCTGGATGCTTGGCGTTATGTAGAAATGTAAGTTAAAAAAAACTGAAATATAATTATATGGAATTTTTATTTCATATGTAGTTTTGATTATTTGTCATAGATTCATTCGTAATATGTATTTGTTTATGTCATCATCTGTAATTTTCATTGTTTCTTAATTTTCAATAATAAATTAGTTTTGGAGGGGAGAACTGCACCATATTGATATAAATGCCACCATGTATATATGTATAATAATTTTATATCGGAAAGATGATGTTATAGACGGCAAAACTGTTTCTGTGAAAAGACGATGTATCGAGATAGAATACCAATAGGAAATGGATAATTGTTGAATAAATATAAGCTGTTGAACGAAATATACTGGCCTATCTTTTTTAAATGTACTGAAAAAATTTATATAATATTTAGTTCGCGAGCAAGCCCTTCAAAAACTTTTTTTTAAAAACTGAGGAAACAAGAGTTTAATCTTCTAGTAGCCTGAGCTCTTTAGTCTCTTCTAAAAGAATTTATGTCGAACTACAGATTGGCCGAATAAACACTTTGGATCGTTTTGACACTTGTGTCAATATCACTGAAAAGTACATGACAAGTACACGATTATGCTTATAAATTGGCTGTAAAAACGATACTCGCATAGAATACTTGTCATTTTTACGATGTTTAAATGATCGTTTTTTGTTAAAAAAATAAATAAAAATTTCTTTTAATGCGCGCAACATAACATTAAAAATTGCGACAATGACAATGTATTCCAAAAGTTTAATTCGCAATTCGCGTATATAATATTTTCAAAAATTTTTATTGAACTTGCAGTAGCTTCAAGTTAAAATAGATTGTAAATATATAACTGTATCGAAAGAGAAAAGTAAAGCGGCAGACGGTATAGACTGCATAATGCATCGAGTTGTTTTAAATATGTTTATTTTTTTTTTCGCATTTTCTTTGCACTTGGAAAGTCATGCTTACAAACTAAATTATAAAACTTCTTAACGAATAGTCCAAACATTTCTTTTCTACAATTTAACGATAAAGTATAATTGCAGTTACGTATGATACGAGTCAGTTATTGTGCGACAAACGCGAGAAATTTAAACAACGGTATTTTTCACATGTATCAGTTTCACGCATTTTTCTTTCCGTTAATTTCTTTCTGTATATATATATATATCCACGATTGTAAATATATATATATATATACATATGTACGTGCGTGCGTGCGCGCGCGCGCGCGTGTGCATATACACATACACACATCGATAGTGCCAAAAAATTTGTATTCAATTTGTTATATACATGAACCTCGCTCATCGCAAGTTTTCAGCGCGTATAGTTATATGTATACTATGTCGTATATACGGTAGACGTACGCACACGAGCGGTAAAAAGAAACAATTTTAACGTGGAAACGATGATGCGTCAGTTTATCGAACATTTAGACTATACGTAATATATCTAGGTGAGATAACGAAGCAATCCACATATGCACATGCAATGTGCGACTTGCGATGACCTTGCGTCAGTGCGTCAGGTAATCGTCGCGCTTTTATTATCGTCCTATATTATCATCCGCGAGTATACACATACACGAGTATAAGTTAAACATTACTTACCGCCGAAATCGAATTTGAATCAATCGATGTGCTTGAATTTTGAAACCAAGTTGTCGATATCTATGACACAGTGTTCACCAATAATCGCATATTATAATTTTCTGCTACTTGTTCAGTAATATTAAATCATATATCCCAACAATTTACAGACGTATACTATACATATGCAATGCACATACATATATATTTTTGTACATACGTTACACAAGAGATATACAGTGAGAGCAAAAGTATTCGTACAAGGAAATTTGTTATAAAAAAAGCCTTATTTGTAGAAAATAAACATTAATTAGCAATTTTATACAATGGCTGCGTTCAGCAGAACGTTTATTTTGCAACTTTGGAAGTTTTCTTCTCGCTGATTGGGTTATTCTTTTAGATCAAGAGGAAAGATCCTATCTCAGCAGAGAATCATAAAATGGTTGCAAAACTGTTGTGTTCTGCTGAACGTAGCCAATGAATACATGTTCTGTTCTAATACAAACAAACGAGCTTAGCATGTATTCCTGATTTTAGAAGCTAAATTTCTCTGTACGAATACTTTTTGGGCATTTAAACAATACAATTTTTTATTTTCGCTTATTTTTCGGATGATATATTTTGTATAATTAATACACATCTTTTCTCAGATAGCACATTATATTCTGAGAATATACTAAAAAGTCACGTCTGATATTCATATGATATTCCTATGTCCGCAACAACATTGTTCGCAGTATATCCTCAGAATATCGAAATGAATTTTGAAAATTTTCGTTAAGAGGATGCTGGAGTGACAGTCGAAATCAATCAAGGTCGATAGTACAGACTTTTAAATTCCAAATTCGACAATAGTGACATCTTTCATTCATTTCTTATACTTATTATATATCGTTGTGTCTCACTCAAACGTATTCATCTGTCCTTATCTAATATATTGCAACGCCATCTCTTAGAAAGAGATCAACTAAAATACTGCTCGGTTTCATGGCTAAACAGTCTAAACTGTCGTACATCGTCGATTTCTCACGCGCTAGACACACAATTTCGTAGAATGCAATTATCTTTTTATTTGGGCGTCAAAACTCAATTCTAAAGATATGACTGTATTCGACTTTTTATTCTACACTAGAACATAACAGGCGCGCGCTTCGCGCGCGCTACTAAGCTTTTAACATTTATACAGGATGTTTTCAAATTCGCGCCCACGAAGAGGGACGTGACACTTACAAGACGTGAAACTTTATGCTAAAATAAGCAACTTTTTCCTTTAACAAAATTGCGTCCGATAAATAATTTTTATGTTTATTTGTTAACTTCAACCTACTCTCCTGCAAAAACTACTTATTGGACGCAATTTTGTTAAAGGAAAAAGTTGTTTTTTATGCTAAAACGAACAACTTTTTCCGGTAGTAAAATTACATTCGATAAATAATTTTTTGCATTTACTCTTATAACTTCAACCTGCTGTCCTGCAAAAACCACTTGTCAGACGCAACCTTTCCTTTGCAAAAGGAAATAATTGTTTGTTTTAGCATAAAGTATCGCATCTTGTACTTTATAGGCACGAATTTGAAAACACCCTGTATATACAAATATGTATAATATATAGGTATATGAAACTTGCAGTAACATTGCAGAAACGTTGCAATATTGCAGATTGCACTGTAATATCGCTGCAACATTGTAGGTATTAGGAATTGTAATACATATAATACATATTATGGCGCAAGATTTTACAAATTGTTACAGAGACATTAAAAAGATTTTGGCTTTTGAGTAATGGACTGCGCATATGGAAACATACGTCAATTACACGTTATATAATTGTTAATTATTTCCATTAATTTAAGCATTATAGTATTCGTTGAAACATATGTCATCGCCGCAGTGCAACAAGATTTTTCAAACTTTATACTCGATTATCATAATTTTTTGAAATATTTGGATTTAAAAAATTCTCTGAATATTGCAAAAAAATAAAATAAATTGCGTGGAGTTTCTTAATATTTCCATTTTATCAATTACGAATATATACAAAATAGGCGCACCTGCATAAAGTATAAAATATACAGGGTGACTCATAACTATTGCATTTCTTCTTAAGATAATTTTGAGACGAAAATTTTAATACGAAAATATCAATAATTTTTTTAATTATAAGCTAACTTTAAATGCTTGTAAATAAAAAATCATTTTAGTTTTATAGCCTCTATTATTATTTCTCGATTCTTTT